TTTTTTGATCGATCGGGCTGAGTAGAAACCGACCTGTTCTGTGGGCGCTGCTCGATTCTGAGGAGGTGGCGTGTTTGTTCTACTATTTGCTGCTGCGTTTTGAGCGGTGTTGTTGGCATGACTAGGAGGTCTTTGGTATGATTGCGGGTTTGGCCGTCCTTGAAAAGAAGGACCTGGCCGTTGTGGCTGTTGCTGGTTCGGAGTTTGAGGTTGTGTAGGAAGTCGGACAATTGGCCGCGGGGGTGGCTGCATTGGCCTTGTAGCACTGTTTGCGGGTGTGGATATAGATGTAGATGAAGTATTGCGATCACTGTTATTGCTAATCGGTAAATTTTGAGATTTTTCACTCGAGCTTGTTCCGTGAGAAGCTGGAAGCATGACCTCATCTGGGTGGCCCTCGTCCGCAACTCCAAAATCGACCTCGTCAAAATCACCAAAGTCTTCATCAAGCAGATCCGATACTACAAATTCATCATATCAGCATCCGCCCAATCGATATCATCGGAGTCGAACCCACCATGAGCAGTCATTTTCTCCACAACAACACTCTTCTCCGCGATTTCCTTCGGCTCGACCTTGACAACGTCCGGCGTCTTCTTGGCGAAATCAGAATGGCGATGCAGATTGTTCTCGTCAAACTTGGCGGGTCCAACTTTGATCTTGGTCACTTTAGCGACATAATTCTTGTCGTATATACAATTGCCAAGGACGTTGCCAAAATTTCGCAGAGCACGCTTCAGCGCATCCGTAGTCCCCTCCTTCTTCGCCTTCTCGAAGGCGGCCGCCTTTCCTTTGCAGTTTTCGATGTGTCCGTATCCAATATCCTCGTGGTAGGTACCATCTCGTAGTGTTACTCGGACGATGACGGACAGGCCGAGAGAGATCTTGAATGTCTGGGGATTTTCGTCGACAAAATCGACTTGGATGTTTTGGATGCTCGAGGACCAGCCATTGAAGCCGAAGACCTCGTTGGCGAGATTAATGCATTTTTCGGCGGCTATGTAGTGGACCTTCTGGCCCGAAGGGCCGCTGCGGGCGGAGAGATATTCGGGGCCTAATTGTTTTTCTAAACGCGATTGCAAAGTAGCTATCTGAGTTGCGGTGAATTCGGATATGTGAGGCTTCGGCTCCTCGAAAGGATTGGAAATGCCGTTATGCTGTTCGCCCGGACTAGTCATGATTACACGTTAGCTTAGACGCGTTGCGAGAGGTTTAGAGGGTTGGGTTGATTGATTGAAATAGGACATACCCTGGCATGACTGCTAGGTTGCAAAACTACCTAGGATGTGTATCATGAAGTTTTGCGCGGCTGTTCCAACATATGGCATACAGCATAACACGAAGAGAGAGCGCAATGCGCAAATAACAAAAGTTGATGAGACGATGTTATAAATTGGAAAATGAGAGATGGGTACCTAGTAGTGGGAAGCGGGAGGAGTAAGTGACATCCCATAGGTACTAACCCAAAATGTTGTGAAGTAAGTCAGGGGGGGGGGTTCCGCCACCCCCTAGTTTCCACCACCCTGTTAAAGTCTAGCCATCTTTGGTATAGGGTCTTCTACTTTGGGTATAACACAGTACATCGTTGAGATAAGATATCAAGTCTCCGTTTTGATTGGCTCAACTTTGACTAGTCATAAGCTTATTTCAGCGAACCAATTGAGTGCATTAACTAGTCTTATACTGGATTAGTAGATTATCCTTCCAGCTTAAACGCGTTAGTCTACGGGCTGGAGAAGATTTAATCCGAGTCACGGGGTTACTAAGCACAGATCACTTTTTCCAATTTTCTTCAAACAGCCTTTTAATTGGTTTTTTGAATTATACCTTTATGCATTTGCATAAATATCACGTGACTGCTTCAAAGCAACTACCCAATTAAACGGCATTATTTTAAAATTTACACTTTTTTTAGTTTATCGATAAAAGTACGTCGTTTTATTGGTTAAAAACAGTACACCCAAATTCAGCTCTTAAAAGGTGGATTTCTATCATATCGCAGCATTTCATTGGCTCATGATACCCTTGTCCTACAGGGTGGCGGAAACTAGGGGGTGGCGGAAACCCCCCCCCTGACTTACTACATGTCTAGGACTCTAGGCCACCGCAGCTACCTTGTAGGGATTCCCCATTCTTGATTAGATAAGACGCGCGTGAGAAAACACCAAGTCACATGACAACTTTATCCATTAGGTCATGATCCACTATTAACTCTGTAGTGTATTGAGATCCGAGTCGACTTGATTTTATGTAGATCCAATCCAATACTATCAACATCAAAAGCCAACGTACGGATTCATCAATGATCGGTACCATTCATGAAAACCTACTCAATGCAAAATAGGATACGAAGATCATACTATGTAAGTCTATGAAACTATCACCACTCACTCATTACTAGGTACCCAGGTCCCATGTATTGAAAAGTATGTGCCTGACTACTTGTATCTCAGCCAATGCGGTACAGAGAAACAAACATCACAAAAAAAGTAGACAAAAAAGAATAAACAAGTGAATAGGCCCCGCCGAGGATTGAACTCAGGTCTCAGGAAGATTCGATCAACATCACTAGAAATTGTTAGGAGAGAGTCCTTAGGTCAAGCTCGAAAGACACTTACAAATCCTGCGTGCTATTAGAATCGTTAGCTGACTAGTCGCAAGGAGTGATTGTCCTAATAGCGCCACATACCTAACCACTACACTACGCGGCCAATCTGGTCTCTAAGACTTAAGTGCCAAGACTGACAATGTTTTCCTTAAGTTTGTTCTTAGTCTTGCTGAATTAGGCTCGGTATCCAGATCTCGGCAATCTAAACCAATTGGAAGCATTGTTAGGTACTTTGCCTACTTCATGGGTACATATGTAGCCCCTAGGGCCTAGGGTTTACTACGAGGAAGCCCCATGTAAAGCTCCATTACGTCAAAGAGTTGGTAACCATGCATACAAGTATAAACATATACTAATATGTACCTAGGTAAACACATAAACATCTTATTATTTAATTTTCTACTTCCGTGCTGCGTAAATATATCAAACAAGTAGCCGCTTCTTCTTCAGCGTTTCTTCAGCGTTAGCACTAATATAATAATACCTATGTCTAGGACTTCATGCACGCCTCTAAAATCTACTATCCTTGGAAGTAGACACCTCCGTACGTGATAGCCTTGTCCATTCTGATATGAATTCTCAGCTACTCGTCGTATGTACAGACTCGGGGATATTCGAAAATACACCATGGATTCTCAGCCTCTATAAGGTCAGAAGACGTCTTGGTGGTAACTTCCGGCAATAACCATCGCCCCTCCTAAAGTATTCATAGAACTCAGCATAAGGACCCATGCGCGATCGGCGTACATCATCATCAGAAGGCTTGTCCCCTCCGTCATTACCGGGAACGGGATCGCTTGCGGGGTCGCCAGCGGAACTGATAGAGGACTCCCTACCGCGGGAGGAAACGGAAACACGAGCACCAGCAAGAGCGGCGAGGGGAGCAGCAGCGGGAGAGGTAGGGTCATTGTCGGCAGGGTCATCGTCGGCAGGGTCATCGCCAGATGGGTCGTGAGGTCCGTTGTCATCATCGCCGTCATGACTAGAACTGCTAGATGATCGGGGTGATGAATCGTCGTTCCCATGCTCGCCTGCCTCAGCAGAAACAGCGGTGGGTCTTGTATTCCGAGCCTTAACTTCTTCCCACTCGGCATCTCGGAGCACAATCTCCCATGCGTCGAGCTGTCTGGTGGCATCCGTAGCTATGCCATGGGCGACACCGACCTGATGTTCTACCTTTTCGAATGGACCGCCGAGTTTCATGAGGTTCCGGTCGAAGTTTTGGATTTCCTCTTCATGTTTCTGTAATGCTGCTACCCTGCGCCGTCCTTCCATGATGTGTTTCAACAGAAGATCGAGGTAGTACGGGCCCCAGGTGATCGGCTCTTCGCCAGGCAGAATTCCGGTGTACAATGCCATGGCCCACGGGCGGGTTCGGTTAATTGCAAACTCAACCGTTTTACTAAGGATATGGAGCTTTTCGAGGGCTTGATTCATGCTTCTCACCGCTCGCTCGTCAGGAGTCAACTCCGAGTCAGGTTTTTCCTCTATCTCAAACTCGGGATAGTCGTCATCGATATCCATAGCGGAATCATCTGGCTTCTCGGCCGGCTTTTCGGCCGGCTGTCCACCCAACTGTCCGACCGGCTGCTCACCCGGCTGCTCACCCGGTTGTTCGGCCGACATCTTGGCTTTTTCTACCTGATCAATTTATCTTGAGTGGCTAAATGAAATTTTTGCTGGTTCCGATGTAACGGATCTGTCGGTATTGCTAGTGTTGGTTCGCCTAAGGTTATGATACTATGTATCTAATTCTTACACAGGAATCTAGAGGCACAGACTTTCTGTAGCCAATATGCGGGAGATGAAAACAAAGGGATAAGATGTTTCCGGTCCTACTTGGCGAGAGTAGTCAATGGCGAAACCGATCAAAGCCTTGGTAGATTTTTTTTTATCTAAACAATACTACTCTTTGGGGATCTTGTGTGGTGCTGCGATGAGATAATGTTCGTCAATGTTGTGGGTAGATTGTATAAGACAACATCAATAGTGAATTCTAGTGGAATAGATGGACTTTTATGATCAAGGCAAGCTTTTGACTTTCTTGATCACTACCTAATAGGCAAGCAAGAACAATGACTTCGTTCGTCAGCCTAAGCTAAAAAGAAAGAACCCGTTGCGATATTGAAAGAGCTAGTCTGGGTCGTGTTTATGCTGTATGTACCTAGGTCCTAGGCTTTCGTCTACCTTGCCTATTTTCTTCCCGTACCTTTTGTTTCTTCAACAAACATTAAAGAGAATGTTGCCAATTAACTTTGATAGGCAAAAGAGTGGGAGAAAATTTGATGTACACGTCTTCTATTATGTGATGAACACCTGATAGACCATTACAGTACAGAATTCTGACCAATCACATCTGATGGGACCAACAAGTCCACTACTCACTAAATAAGGGCGTGTAACTCAGTGGTAGAGTGCTCGCTTCGCATCGTCTTACCTAGTAAAACACTGATATTGAAATGCGAGAAGTCCAGGGTTCAACTCCCTGCTCGTCCATATTATTTTTGAGCTTCGCAGCTATTGCTGGCCGTGTGCATTCATTGTCATATGGCAATCTTTTTCATTTAAGTGAGCCCAACGCTTAAATGATGGCCATAAATACTAGTCTGTTCCAAGGCAATATCTTTTTTTAAAGAAAAACCAATTTTATTAATCTAGACCATGCAAATATAAATGGTTGATTGAGTTATAAACCCTCTCCTACCCTACCAATGCCAAATGACAGTGTGAGCTCGGCGACTCTTGCTCGCACATGAAGCTTATCTTTTAGTAACATATCAAAAATAGAACGAAATCCCTGATACGAGCCTTTTAATCTTTTCGGCGTCATGAATAAAGGAGATGACATGATAATAAATACATGGTACTCGGTGTTCATTAGCTTTGAGTGATCTGCTCTATCAAGTCTGAGAAGACCTCTCTGATTTGGTCTAAGGTGAACATTAACTCTCCTCTTGTCTCAAGTTTTTGGTAGAGAGTACATGATGCGTTATTGTACAGATCTTGGACGGGATGATAATAGGGGCACTGCGGTGAGGGGATGTCTTCTCCGAACAATTGCTTCCAGGTCCAGTACCACTTCATGGTGGGATCAATGCCTTGAGCTTTGGAAATTGGCGGCAGGTTATTGGTAGGAACACCGTCCATTGGCTGGCACTCATGCTTTTTTGATGGACCCTCATCATTAAAAGCCACCCAACAATGTTTGCAATGATCCTTGGTGATATGTTGGCGTACATGATTGATACCCATAGACTTTCTGCCATTGCACGTGAAATATTTATTCGGATCAAGTTTGTAGAAGGGGCAGGCAAGAGGTTTACTATCGCACTCAGGCATCGAAGAGCAAATTTGACAAGCTATCATGCCCTGGTTTGTGCCTTTGTGCGACGGAGGATTTGGGGGGGGACAATCCAGTAACTCGGTTGCTAATGATTGGGAAGGTCTATCGCAATAGTCGCCGTTCGACAAAGTGGAAAAATCGGGAAAATCTGTAGTAGAAAGATCTACACCTAGAAAGTCATCCCATTGAGCTTGTTGGTTGGAGACATCATAACCTATTTCCGCATTGACGTCGATCAGATTAATCTCGCCAGCATCAAAGGCCTCTGTGCCGGTCGAGTACACCATCAATCGATCGTCGGACGGCTCATCATCATCCGGGCATTCACGTGGTGTGCACTCCCCATCCTCAAGGGGCTGGTTTAACCAGCTGGTTTCTGACTCAGGCCAACGAATTGGTTCGGTACCCCCGCAGCTATAGTTAGAAATCGAGATTGCCGCAGTGAAGGTAGTCTGAGGTTCCCCGGTAGGATCTGAGTAATCGAAAGGACCCGGTTCCGCACTTGAGCCTCCTTGTAACGATGGGGCTCTGTCTTTGTTGGTAAATGGTTGACGTGTATCTGGCAGAGCCCCATATCCATGCTGGCTATGTGACAGAGCCTCAACCCGGGTAGCCACTCGTTTTCTCTTGGATCTTGGGTATAAAGGATCCCTTCCACCCATGTTTTCACCAGATAGGGATTCCACTTCACATTCAGAACATCTTTTCTTTCCACATGTTGGGCATTGAGGGTGAAGCTTCAAGGATATCCCTCCGGGACCACTCCATGCACAATTGCACTAAAAACAGTAAGTATAGCGCAAGATCAAGAGCTACTACAAAGTATAGACTTACACAATACCAGAGGTTTGCCATATCGTCGATTCAATGTGAAGTAACCTGTTGTCCGAGTAGTAGCTAATTTACGGGGAAACACTTCGATCAATATTTGCACACTCAATTGGACTTTAAGAGACCTTTCAATTTGCTTCATATCAATTAGAATGGGCTATGGCAGAGAATGTAAAATATGTCACTCCATTGGTTTAGGTAGCTTCTTGAACCGAATACCCAATTGATTCAGTCCAACCTAGCAGGCCATGACCTGAAGGAAAGCATAGAAATCCTCTGAATAGTAACTTCTAATCATAATCTTGATTCAAAGGTACCCTATTCGAGGTATCTTTTGATCAAAAGAATTATCATTTAGAGTTTGACAGCGCTACGCTGACGCGCGTGTCCGTGTACCATTGGCTGGTCACTGAACCCGATCTTACATGCATATAACGTCGTGATCAAGATCTTGACTACGGTATTGTAGTTAAATAATTGGTGAGTGATCGTAATGATCGAATGGGAAGAAAGAAGGCGACCAATTGAATCTTTCTTGTGACGTCGGGTTCGTGGGTTTTTTTTTTTTTTTTTTTTTTTTTTTTTTTTTTTTTGCGTTTCCCCTGAAAACCGGGGTGGTGGGTCTCTATATCAAACGAAGCATGAGCTGTCGGTTAGCAAATGCCAACCGGAGTCGATCCCTATAGCTTCGGTTGTCCTGAAGATAAAAAAGACGCCCGGTTGAATAGAGGAAAGGAGGTCGAGAACTATGTGTCACCTAACAGAGTGCTTGTGAATGGTGGCCTTGAACCCCGCCATTCTACACTTTGCCTGTGTCCCATACTGCATGATGCTTGCATGGTAATTCCGCCCCCGTGCAATAAACGAGATCACCCCAAGGTGAACCGCAGAACAAGTATCTGTTCTATCATATTAATAGGTACGAATAATAAGAAGCATGGCCGTCTAGACATTACGAAATACCTATGGACCACGGAAAAGGGTCGAATCTCAATCAGTCTCTAACCTCGGGGCTGATCCCACCTCAAGCTCAAACTATCAATACCAATCCCGAACCCTTGTTACTCAGTACCTGGCACGTGTGATGGCTATATGTCTTGGAGCCGTTGAGTGCCATTCAAGGTCGAGTTTGTACAAATGTCGACGATGAGAAATACTCGTAGGTTTTGATGTTTCTGTTCTCTTATGGTAATTCAACAATTGGTGATTGGCGAGATGAGCCTGAACATTGAATGGTGTTGTGAATTGGCGAAATGGAAGATGAAGTAGAAGACTGGAAAGTCCTAAGAAAACGGGTAAGGTTATGGATACTTAATTGATGTCGTTGAGGCTCAACAACCGTTGGAATGGGTAAATTGAGGTACTGGCATCAGAACAACTGCGGAGTGTGTCGCTGTGCTAATGTTCAGCTCAAGCCACAGCTTTCCAAGGTTGTTTGGTGAACCCTAGGGCCTAGGCTGTACTCAGGCCCCAGTCATAGATCTTCATTGTCTTTTATCTCCCGACTGTGGACAACATCCCAGTGGCAACCCGTAATACACCCGAGTCTCCCGCAATCTATACAAGCTGGGTAAAGCTTTGAGGTCATCCCCCAGGCCCATTTCCATTACAAAAACACTATCTCCCGAAGTGCCAACTGACAGCAGTACAAAATATACCCATTAAATTTATGATTCGATTGGCTACAAAATGCTTAATAACCCTCACTTAAGTTCTAATTGGGCGCAGCCTTCAGTATTTATATGGGCTTATGTACTGCTGTTAGTTGGCACTTCGGGAGATAACCAATTAACAACCATTGCAGGCGAACAGTGGTTTCTCCACCATAATGATTGAGCCATAGTTATTTCATAAGAAAGAATCTTTCGGCTGACTTAGTCTAGGCCCAAAGACAAGGCTTGGGCATGAGAGGATGTATATCTTGATCAAAAATAAAATATCATCTGCATTCACCCCACACCGATCATCTACATAGTAAGCCCGTAATCAAGCTTTTGATCAAGCTTTTGATTATGTTGAATGCGTAACGGCTGTTCATTGATATCAGATTTTAAGGATTACGTGTAGCCTGCTTCTCCTTCTCTCAACGCAATATATTCATAGCCTTTAAAATATACCTTCCTCTTAGATACCTCACCCGTGTATTACAATAAATCCAGATGAAAAATGCCAATTGAATAAAAGGACGTGATGTGCATATGCGCAGCTTATCACAACGTGGGCTTCACCCACCTAGATTCCTGACCAAATAACATCTAAAACCCCGCCCCACGTGGCAAGTGACATTAGCGGTGGTTTGCACATGTAATACTAGGAGTCTAGGATACCTAATTTTAGGGGCTAGTCGTCATAAACAGATAGCTGAGAAATCAACAATGACTGTTTATCTCAGAATCGGAAATGTATTAGTCTAAAGTGAAATGGAAAGGGGGTCTCGAGTGCTGTGTCTCTTATTTCGGGACCGATCCCAACCTCTGCTAAAATCAATGTCCCGAGCTTTAAAACTTATCCCCTCTGCCATTAAAAGATACCTAATAATGCCTCCGATTGTGGCGTCTCTTTGAATATCGTTGTTAGTGAGTGTCAGTTTCAAACCTCCTGGAGTGCCTAGCATTTATCCGGATCTAGCTTGTGTAAAGGGCAGGCAAGAGGTTTATTGACCCGTCCAGTCATCGATAAGCAAAATTCGCAGACTTCAGTATCTTGTCCTCTGGGTGACTCAACGGTAGACGATTAGCAAGCTTGAATCGTACCGAGGAGTACCGTTGACCGAAGACTCGTGAAGAGAAAAAAAGGGCTGATTATTACAGAGAAAACGCGCAAGATTACGCGTGCTTAACTTGATGTCGCGGGTCGGTAGTCGTTGAAGCGGATAGATAGTAGCCCGTAGTGTCCGAACAATTGCGGGATCCATGGATGGGGATGGATGCACTTAGTGCACCATCTATTTAGCGCGCCTATATCCGATTCAACTCCACTGAATAATCTAGAAATAGCCGTTGATGATTTTCTAGCAGCCGCTAAGTAGGTACCTAGCCGAAAAGATCAGTAGCTTATTAGCTCTTCATTTTTTAAGGAAAATTCCCACATCACAGTCAATGTAGGTATCTGTCTCCCACAAGATGGACAGGGTTTCGAGGACTCCCCATATGAGCAACTGCGCTGGTGAGACCCAGAAATCCATCGCGGTATGAACTTACACAATACCAAAAGTTCTAAATTGTATTTGTTAGATACCCGAGCAAATTGTCGACTTCGATATTATTCTGTATATCGAAATGAATAGTAGTACAAAAAAGAAATTTTGCAACAATGTGTATTT